ACAATGGTTTTCTTGAGGTGATTTTTTTAATGTTACACTCAAGTACAATGTACATGCAATATTTATATAATATATAAAGTTTGTTTGTTTGTTGTTTAACGTCCCTCTCGAGAATTTTCACTCATATGGAGACGTCACTAGTTGATGGTGGAGAGCTGCAAATTTTGATCTATGCTCGGCACCGAGAGCTTTTGAGCAGTGAGGGATCTTTTTCGTGCCAGCAAGTACTGCGACACGGAACCCCGGTCTCATCCAAAGGACCGATCTCCACGTTCCACAGTGGAATTCGAACCCGCGACGTAAGGATCAACTCCGTACTTCGCGACTCTAAAGCAGGCGCTCTTATCATTTCGACTATATATAATGTTAACAAATGACTATTGTTTTATAATCATGTATTATTTAAGCACATGAGTTTTGTATGATATATTTGACAAAGAAGGTGGGTGAACTTAACGAGCGAAAAGCCTATAGTGGGACAAACATGAAGGTGAAAAATTAAATCTCAATTATATCAAAATTTTTCTTGATATTTCATCTAACATTAAAATATACTTTATGTGAATTCTCTACAATTTTCAAAAATCTCACAAAGATTGAAATTATTTGCTTATGAAATATTATACACACACTAAAGAGGGCAAAAAGAGTTATTTTCTCACACTATAACACTATTTTTCGTTATGAGTGGGTCTTCGCTTCATTTTGTTTAAACTTAATCCTCAAAGTTTGCATAAAAATATACATTTTTTGGTTTCCAAAAACATGGAGCAAAGACCCACTATACCTTAAAAATATACTTTTATGACATAGCATTCGCATCTTTTCCAGAAATACTTGAAGTCCATTAAGTCAAGGGTCATATCACAAACATGATTTAAATGCCACTATCATCAGGACTTGTGTAGTCTAGTGGTTAGCGTGCTAGTCTCGAAAGAATATGATACTCGGGATTTTTATTGCTAGTGTTCGAACCCCACGAATACCACATTATTTTTTTTAATAGAAGAATAAATTTTGCCGAGAAAATTTTCCTCAGAAAAGTTTTGTTTATTATAATTTCGTAAATTTCAATAATGAGAACGTTACTCTAAATGTTAAATTCACAAATTGAAATGATTTTTATATATCTGAAGCTATAGGCTTTCTGCACGCTATGTTCACCCATCTCCTTTATTTTAAAAAATATACTGTACTACATGTACATGAATTGACACTTATTACATATTTATTCAAAAGTCCCCTGAAATCGAAAATAAATGTACCTGAGAGATGATTAATTAAGCGATAAAGTATAAGAGGTCACATGTACATCTTAATTGCTATGGCTAAGGGTAAAAGAAAGCCTAATATACGTACGGCAACAGCCTTTCCTATTAAATACTTCTACTTCGTGAACAGTGAAGTTGCTCCCAAGATCGATTCTAATCCATGGATTTTTTTCAATTTCTGTGTGGGTATAGTCCTTAAAGACACCACTAACAGCATGAGACGCCGGAACATAGTGATTATAAGTTGTGCTCTGTGTTACATACTTTCCATATGCTACATTTTTAAAAACATTGTGACCCATTGCAAATTCAATTTTACAGCTGCTAGCGAAAAACGAGAAAAATAACAAAGAACAAATCATCATTGTTTAGAACTGTACAAAGGATCTCCGTTGCGTTAATCCACGTTTGAGTTTTATGATCCTCTTCAGAACTGTCTGATTTTTTTTTTTACCAAAGTGTCGATCGTAACAGCTGTAGATTTTTTTTTATTACAGTGCCATTATTATATTAATACGAGGACACCAGATACATGCATTCTAAGTTAAAGTCTTAACATGCAACACGCACTATGTAAATAATTTTCAAACCTGTAATATACGTTTTATAATATCAACATTTTGAATTTGTTTAAACTATTGCATGCATGGTGAATTTAACATACAGGAATAAGTACAAATTATGTTCTCGGAAGAATTATTAAACTTTCAGTAAGAGCTGAGTAGCAGTTATGTGTTTAGGCATTATACCATAATATTGAAATAGTATGATGACTGTTAAAGGACATGGTATGAGATCTTTTTGTGGCCACTTGATAAAAATTTGTGCCAGGAAATTAAAGAACAGGTTACAGTTTCAATAAAAATCTGGCCCTGTATTTTTCTAAAATATGAAAGTGAAGAAAGAAATTAAAATTCATGCTTTCTGAATTGTTTCAACTCCATGTACTATGATCAAACAAATCGTTTTTCTCATTTGACTTCCTAGTGCTAATTGTGACGTCATAAACTTGTGCATTTTCCTGCGTTTTCTTTAAAAGTTGCAGAAGACATCAATTTTCAGTGAAATTTTCTTTCAGATAATATAGACCACATGCATCGCCCACAGAGATTTTGAGAAATATGATTTTTCAAAGAATTTTACACATCATATCAGAATATTGAAGTGGGCGACGGCTGTGGACACTATTTTCTCAAGGAAAATACCCCCTGAAATGAGTCATTTTGAGCCTTTTTCTGCTTAAAACTTAGAATAATACGAAATTAATGACGCCATATTTGCAGAATGGTCCCTTTTCATGCCATATTCTTCCATGAATTATAACACTCATATACTCAACTCATATTTATTCAAATTTCAGAACTTTTTGAAAACATCAATTTTTGGGGGCACAATAAAACCCACAAACCGTACCTTCTCCTTTTTGGCCACGGAATATAAATTCGTGGCCACAAAATAAACATTTATCGCCACGAATTAAATAAGTATAATTTTGTTTGTAAATGTGGAAAGGGTTCGAAACTGTCTTTCAAACTGTGCGTATGATTAGATTTCTGTGGTCAAATTCTCATAAACTGTTAAAAAATTGCAACATTTTTTTCCCTTGATACATTAATGTAAAATTTATTCAAATCAACATTAAGAACTCTTGAATCATACTAAGGCAAAAGAGGTTGGTCTTTTGGTTATTCAGTGGTCAAGATTTCTTCACAGTCAACATTGAAAGTCACACATCTTCCAAAACTCATATCTCTAATTATATATAATGCTATATATAGCTGTGGTAGGATTGATTATCTCTGTGGTTCTCTTCCTTTAATTAACATTCAACCTTCTAGTGTATTGTCGCGAATGACTATTTAGGCAAGCCCATGGGAAACAACTCTCCATCAGTATATTTACTGCAGAAATAAGGATCGATGTCTCCCGCTGGACATGTGCATCTTGTCTCCATCTTGTGGTCATTGAATATAGACATATTAAACTTTTAAAGATTTACCTCAAAATTGCATCTCTTCAAAAAGTTTTTTTTATAAGTCAATTGAAACTAATTTTAAAATCCCAATAAAGAATAATGTCAACATGTTATAACGTTATTACTTGCACTTACATAAATAAATGTCAAAACTTACTATATATTTATTATTGTTGATATGCATGTTAAAAATGTACCAAATGAAATATATGGAGATAACGAACTGTATTCAAGCTCAAAAGTCCATTAAACAATACAAAATAGGAGCAGAGCAAACACGGACCTCCAAAACATCAGAGGTGGGATCAGGTGCCATGTAGGAGTGAGCATCCCCTGCCGACCGGTCACACCCGCCGTTTGCTCCTTGTCATGATCGGGAAATAACTGAAAAATCCGTCGACAATCCAGTGTGTAAATAATGGTCAAACAATTAGTGAGAAAAAAGTCAGCATTTGACTCAATGATAAATTGTATTTGCTGACAAGGTCATTATATCGACCATAGAACTTTACGGAATGATGACTTAAAAGGTCAAATTCAAAGGAAATGGATACACTTGTAAATGATATATGTTGTAAATAATAGTTAAAAAGAGGGAACCATAATATTCCTAAAGTTTTAAACCTTGTTGTTTTCTTTGTTTACCTGTGTAAAATCGCTAAAAATAACTTTTATCAAAAGAGTCACTTCCCCTTTCTGTGACATCATAAGAGACGATCAACATGAGTAATAATACATTATTTTTAAGATCAGGCTAGTAGCATCGTATATAAAAGGGCGTGGGCAAAAAAAATTGACATGGAAAAAAAATCTTAATTATCTTTTTCAATAACTTCGAGACTGCCCCAAATCGGAAATATTTTTTTCGTTGGAAAGGGGGAGTCGATTTTCGCTATCATTTTCGATTTTCCCCGCTTTTTAAATGAACATATATCTTCGGAAGGTTAGACCATACTGTAAGAAGAAGTATGCATGTGTCTTTGTTTGTGTGTGGGGAGGGGGTGGGAGTGGGGGTTTAATTGAAAAATTAAATTTCCATGCTAAATGCGAAAACCCATCTAGACTCTACTTAAACAGAGGGCTTGTCCTAGGCCCCACTGATATGACACCGGAATGTTTTGAATGCATCTCAATGAAATCAAAAGGCGGGGGAAAAAGTCAGAAAAGTTAATAATTTCTAACGAGCTTTTTCAGTTAATTGAGGCAAATTCTGGACATATTTCCCCCCAAAATATATAAGAGAAATGGAAAACGCAACAACCGAAGAATTTAGATATTATCAATGAACTGCATTGTATATTTCAAAACATACTAGATTTTTATTTGTCCTCAAAACGTTAGTGAAAATAAATATTCTAACGTTATGTAATTAATTAATATAGCCAGAAGCCAAATCAATATTCCAAGAAGCATTTCTTTTCATGTGAGTACTATTGCTGGTTTTAAAATTATTATTGTTTTCAGAATGAATTAATTATGTATGTAAGTATTAATCACATTACTGATATGTTTTTCCACCTCTTGAATGGTTTTATAAACAACATTCGTCTCACTTTGTGTACGAGTTATCTTTGTAGCCTATTGAGCCAGGTGTCACAAGAGCGAAAACACGTAAAAATGCTCTAAAAATGAAAGAAAAGTTATCGATGTATACAGTTTACGAGTATGCTTAAACAACATTGACTCTTTTATTGATTGATTGATACCTGGAATATGAGATTTAGCGTCCGAGAAAAGTTTGATCGAGATGAATGAAAAGTTGAAATTTATGTGCTTTATCCTCTCTTATATCGTGATGATACACTGTGTGTACAGTTGTACATCAAGCTACTGTCAATAATTATTTATTTCTCATTACAAGACTTACTTAGTTAAAATATCCATACTACAGGAATCTGAATGAATATTTGAATATTTTTACCGCATATTTTATCTAAAGACATTTTATCTAATACTTTAACGTTTAAACAGAGTAAGATAAAAAAGAATTTCCTGAAGATATCTCTGATGTTTCCAAAATTAAAGTAATATAATTTACAGATCATCAAATTGGCACACATAGTACATTGTATACACCACAGGCCATTTTCAACAAGAATATCGTGGAAAAAAATATTTAATCAAGTTTCAGAGTTAACACAATTATGAAAGACTTTTCAAGAAAGATTCTGAGAGAAGAATAAAATTTGCAAATGGCTTAAGTTTCGTATTTTGGTAAAATGAATTTTTTCTAATGAGAAGAGCCTTATGATTTGGAAAAGAAAGTATTAAATACTATCGATAATCTTTTAGACAATGATATTCAAAAACATTAGCAGTGCATGCAAAATTCCTCTTTTATCGATTCCGTCGTTAGATTACAACTACAAACGTCCCCAAACAAGAACTTCAGCAACAGACAGGTAGTTGTTCCATCCCTCCATAATCTGTATCTTTACATATCGACCATATGTATTGAAAGGACAAAACACAGCTATCCGCTCCCCGCATCTGGTACAAGAACCAGCAAAATGGCCACATAGATGCATGTCGTGCAGATCATTGCCAACCCTTATATCAACGTCATGAAGTCGTCCAACTGAAACGATTCAAATTATAAACGAATATAGAGTAGTATACAACATGTATCTAAGGTACAGATACAAATGAAAATGAGAGATGATTCAAGTTAACAAATACCCAAATGTTGGGAAAGCAAATGTTAATGAAAAAAGTAATGAAACGTACAGCAACAGTTTCTCCTACCGAATGCCTCTACTTCATGAACCGTGTAGTTTCTCCCAAGATCAATTCTTATCCATGGATTTTTTTCAAGGGCTGTGTGGGTGAAGTCAGTAAAGACACCTTTGACAGCATTTTCTGGGGTACCTCCGTACGTGCTATGAATAGCGGATTTTCCATATGCCAAATTCGTAAGAACATTTGACCCATCGTGAATTTAATTTCACAGTTAAACGCCAGAAATAAGACCAATAACAAGTAAAAAATCATTGTTGTTAAGCGAAGTTTCTCCCTTGTTTAAAAAAAAACGCCAGAGTCGTATGCTTCTGTTCAAACCCGCTTCTGTCACTGCTTAACACAAGGAAGATCTTAACAGAAGAGGATTTTTAATTGCAGTTACAATTATGATAGGAGGGCACTTGTAACCAATTACATGAATTTTAAGTTAAAATCTTCATGTAGAGTATGCACCGTGTAAATGAATTTCAAACATATATAACGTCAACTATTAAATTTGATAACAATAGTAACATACAAGAATTTGCACAAAGAGATGAAGAAGATTATTTTTAAACCTTTCAATAATGAGCCTTTAAATAGGAGTAGCAGTTGTGTTTTTATATAAAATCAACTTAATGAACATATAATTAAAGTTATATCATTATTCATGTTATTCTAGGTACAATTAAATCATCTTACATTGTAATTTAAAAGTTTTACTTAAGACAGTATTCCACATATTAAACAATAAAATTATTGTTTAAAAGGATACAATACCCAAGTTTGATAAGGACGTGTTTATTTCAGCCAGACCAAGAGACCTCTCTCGTAACTTTAGTAGTACTTAAAGAGCAATGCACGTTAGGTCTCGATCACGTAATGAATGCTTTGATTTACAAAATGAAACAAGATAGCTATTGAAAAAAAGTACTAGTATCTTCTAAAAAAATTATTACGTAGTTCGTAGACAGCGAATGAAAATACTTCGAATCGTATCAATGTGCGCGCACGCGTATGTCTGCATTATTTTTTTGTTTTACTTTCAAATAATTCAAAAACATTGTATTTGTATATTTTGCTTATTGTTGATATCAAATGTTAAATAAAACAGTATCTATTTACGTCTTTATATTATTCATGAACGTCTCCCAAGAATATAACATCCACTGTTCCTAAAAAGGTTTGTCATCTCATGACAATATGTTAGTTGTACTTATCTTTTACACTGTCAGAAGAGACCACACAAAAATCTCTCTGCACATTTGCCCACTTTGACTGTCGATAATATATAGCCAGGTCTGCGATTACAAACAGAAAAAAGATGTACATAAAATGTTTTTATTTTTCATTTACTGAATGTGTACTTAAAATAGCGGCTTAGACTAGGACAACGATGCGCTATTTCAGGAAAACCCCTAATAAATCATTTATAAATACAATACATGGCACTTTTGTGTGTAGCAGTAATTCATGAATACGCCAACAACTAACTACCCAGTGATTGCGCTTAATTTTGAATACGCCAATTTATTTACATGTACTGTATATCAATCATTCATGGATATTTTGTGTATATATTTCGATGAGTCAATACATCTTTACGACTGTGTTACGGACATGTGATGGAGAAGATTCGTGATGTAGTAGATCTACATGTAATATGAACGGAAGTGACCTTTGATCTTTTATAATATATATGTAACATATCAACATCTACGTACCACGAAAGTCATTTCGGGCAAAGATTTCTAGTTAATGAATTTTATTGTTCCTTCTAAGATCAATCCTAAGCCAAGGTGAAGGGTTTTTTTCTGATTCAGTGGGAGAAATCTGAGGAGACCATTGACAGCTTATGATGCTGTGTAATGTCAGCAACGCCAGAAATAACCAATAAACAGTACTACACTGTAATCAGACATTCACTTGTAATAGAAATAACTAATAAAACTGTTTCTATAACTTCGTCTATATTGACTTTAAAACTGACAACGTGACAACTGCAATGACAATGGACTTGTGACCAATTTACAGATGTAATACAGTCTACTTCTAGCCAAATATTTCAAGTCTGTACGCATAAAAGTGGATAATTATTTAAGAGTAACATATTACACCAGAAGTGCCAGCAGAAATTCGGACCCTTTGCATCATTATATGCTGACTATATCGCGGGAATGTTAAGGCAGTACCCAGATGCAAAAACGATAATAAACCATCAAAGAAACAAACTATTATCAACAATTGTATCCATAGACCTCAGGGCATCTGTGTTTTAGGACATAGTCATCATGTGACTTCTGCGAAGATAAAATATTCCTTAATCATGTTAACAAAAGTGGAAAGTTCAAATTTCCCCTGGATAAATCATTTCTGTAAGTAAAAATAATTATATGAAAACATCTCAGGGATATAAAAATGCTGGTAGAATCCTTCTATTCCATTACGGAAATAATCCAGTTTTTTGCATGAAATAACCAAAATGTGTACCGACTCAAAGTTACCACACGATTTCAGCAGCACTTTGAAAGTATTGAGGAACTGGGCAAACACAATATGATCCTTTTTCTATCCGTATCAATTTTGGCTTTTTAAAACAGATGCATGTAATACACCTGGATTGTGCATCATACATACACACACAATAAAATTTATTTGATACAACAAAGCAAAATTGTAATTATTTAATTGCATTGTATAGAGTTGGTTAAAATAACGTTTTATCATAATAAGATTTATCAAAAATATAAACAATGTACAATGTATATAGATTATTTCCTCCTACATGTGTCAGTTACACGATATATTTGCATACCATGCAATTATATAGCATAATGTGTAGAGCAAAGAAATATTTTGGCAAATGATGAGAAAGAAATGGTATATTATGAGTAGGGATGTCAAAATATTTATTTTCTTTAGTCGAACATTCGATTGCATTATTCGAACATAGTCGAATATATTCGAAACTTTTACGGAAAATAAAATTTTATTTCAAACTTCATTGGTACATGACGTACTTAACCCCAAAACCCCTTTTCTTATATTGATTAAAATGTAACAACAAATGTATACACACAGATATTCACATGTACCTAGAATGTGGATAGCGCGTTATATTAACTAAATATATACCGCTAATTTCTCCAAAATGTATGATTTCCCCGTCAATCATTCCATAAATCGGTCTGTAAAGACGCATATTTAGTAAGCAAAAAATGTCAGTACTATATATTTTTTAAAGCTTATTAAAATAATTGGGGGGGGGGGGGGGTAAAACACACACTATCCACACGCCAGGTGTCTGTGATAATGTTAAACAGTTGAATGTACTTTTTGTCCCGGCTATCAAAATGTTTTTAAAATTTGTAAAAGAATATTAATTTTATAATAATTATCGTAGTGTCCAAACATGTCACGGCTATAATGGGTACAAGGGTTGAGATCAAGTCCAATTAATGATTTTACAAAGCCCAGTATAGAGAGATAATTTTATTACTAAAACAACACATTAATTGACAAGTACTACTCGCTGAAGTGAAGCATTTCTAAATACTGTACTTTCTACATGTAAAGTCGGCTGTTTTTAATGAGGAAAATTATCTTATCGACTGTGTCTGAGGAAAGACGGTTTCTCAACTTTAAGATAAGAATTCCATTTCTTCATCATTCTTTTATTGAATTTATTTATTCGAATGTCGTTTCGTTATTCGATCGTCGGTCCATTCGACTGATAGTCGAATAGTCGACTATTCGTTGACATCCCTAATTATGAGATTTCTCTGCTATATACAGTGCTATATTAATTGTTGGAAAAAAGGTAAAAATGACTGAGACAGTTACTTAGGTTCTTCATTTTCTATGCAACGCGTTCAACGTTCAGATCATGATATGCAACCACATCTTTATTCTAATAGTGGACCAAAAAAAAAAAAAAAAAAAAAAAAAAAAAAAAAAAAAATAAGATGTACATGTAGGCTATTCATTTAAGCCATTCAATCTCTACAGTGTTTGTTCACATCGTATTATTTCCAACACTTCAAAAATTTAAGCTGTCTTATATCCCTCTCGATACCCATTCGAACATGGTGGAAAATGAAAAGGTCAACATCACATGCTATTGTGTTACGCATGCTCATGAATTACTTATTCTAGAGCAACCATGAAAGGATCGACCAAATAATTTGCCCCGAGGAATATCAAAGCATTTTAAATCATAAAGTGACAACTGTTATTTTCAATAACGATTATTTATTTCAAGGAATAAAACTGATTATATATAATAAATTTGACAAAAGTTATAGGATGAGGGTAAACTGTCAATTTATATGTACAGTTCCAGATAAGGATGGGAGCAATTTTAACCTTGGACTGGAAAATGAATTTGACGATCTCAAGAATACACAGCAAAGAAAAAAAATATGCTAAGGTCACTGACTGATTTTTTTCATTTACATGTGAAAACAGTAAAAACATATTTTAAAAAAAACCCACCTTGTTACTGAATTATCTAGATACATCGTTTTTCTGTGACAGCTAGAGGTTATACTCAACACTTCGAATGAACTTGTCTTTGGAAACAAGATAACATTAAGATAAGCGGGGTATGTAAAAAGGAATCTGTGACAGACGTCTTATGCACTTGTTTGTTGTACGAATGTACTAAACATCAAAACATTATCCAAAGCGAACAATATTAGTTGAATGAATATATAAAAGAACCGAATAAATGAAAGACAGACACTGTTTGGTGGATTTTGAATTGAAGTCTTTTCATAAATGTGTCGAGGGAAGCTTATATCAGAATGAAAAAAAAAATTATATTGTAGGCAATATTCAAAAATCCTTCACAATATGCATATGTCCATAACCCTGCGATTGAAAATGTTCCTTCATTCTAGTCTAATTGTGGGAAGTTTTGCGTTGATTTTTACTAGTAAATGTACATGTCAATGTCTAACTTAATATACTCTAGAATATGTTACATTTGTGAAGTTTTCCTCATAAATTTCAGTGCGATTATGGTCTATTCTACAGAAACCTCCACGGCTGATGTTTTTTCGACAGCTGGTTCCGAAAAAGTATGATCGTAATGATCGTCAACTGATTCTACATTTCGCACATGAAGATGGGAAGAGTCGTCATATTCAGGATGCGTTGTAGGACGAAGCTGAAAAAGCAGTTTATCATTATTATTTTTTTGAATATAACAATGTTAAAAATTTCCGTGCTAGATGAAATGAAACGAACAGAGTTGGTAAAATGATCATATCCTACAGGCATTATAGAAGTTTTAATAAGCCAAAGAATTGAACTGATGATTCAGAGGTTT